CTTGGACACAACAGCAAAACGTGCGTGTGTAAACACACACACACACACACACACGCTGGTACACACACTAACACATATGCACGCTTTTGCTACTGATTTTTCTTATTTTTTCTACTCTGCGTCCATCAATTGACTTTATCTATTTGAACTCACATGTTAAAAATATCAATTTGTTGTCGACTTTGCTGCGGGCTTTGTTGCCATCTGACAGACACTTGGCTTGGCTGGCACTTTGTTGTTGTTTCGCTGTGGCGAGCCTAGCTCGGAGTGCAGCTGCCAGATCTGCAGAGCTGCAGCTTTGCCTCCTGGTGTGATTTATGGCCACTTTATGGCATAAATGTAGGTGCGGCCGCACATAAATCATCGTCCAAGCTGCAAGAAAAGCGTGTTGCAGTAACTCGATACGTAGCAGGGGCAAGGCGAAGGCAAACGCTAATTTACTTGACTGAAAACTGGTCGAATGCGCAAAGATGCATTTAAATGTTTGGCTATAATTAGGAAGTAGTGATTCATCATTCGCTTCCTGTTTGGAAATGCCAAAATATCAACGCTCGGACTGTGCCCCGCACCTGTTATCCTTTGGCCATTCTGTCCAGTCATCCGAGGCAGCTCTCATTGAAATCACTTAATTTTTTCCATTAGACACTCGAGCCCAATTATGAATCCCAATGCCTGGCATAAGTGTGCCACTTGAGGGTAAAATGGCTCAGACAAACTGTTAGTGAATTAAGAGGCCAGCTGACTGCCACGCCCCTACACCCACACACCCACACACGCACACATGAATAATTCATGCTGCTACAAATCTGTTGTTGCATTAATGAGCTACGCTTCTTATTTACCATGATGCGGCATAAAAAGAAATCGGAAGGAGTGGAAAATGGGCGACAGAGACAGGTTTAATTAGAAGCCAAGTAAAGTGCAGTCGAGTCAAGTCAAGTCAAGTCAAATTGTCTTATCACAACTTCCACAAACGATTTTACCCATTTTCTGATTTTTGCACGCTGCTGAAATTGTTTAGTCATTCCGTTCTCAGCCCAGACATCAATCATAGCGCGTCGGACAGCAGCTGAGTTAATGGTCAGACGGCAATAATGGGCTGGGTGTTTGCGTGTCCTTTCACTTGGGTGTGGGTGAGCGCACAGTTGGACAAGTGCATGATTAATTATATGATTATCTATAAATTGGTTTTTGTGGCAAATGCTAGACAGGATTATACTTCCAGCTCCTGCTCTTGCAGCGCTTTTGTTCGATATTTCTTTGCATACCTTAGGGCGCTTATAACACTTAAAGGTTTACTAGAAGTAGTTAAGTCGACACGGACAGACTGCAACGACACCGAAGCCTACTTGCAAGAGGTCTAATTCCTGCCAGACCCCTAAGACGTCTTAAACGGCAAGGCTTAGCCAGAACGATGGGAATGCTGTAAACTGTCTCCTTTTAATTCCTCATATAAATTTGATTGTACAGGTTCTACACTTTTAAAATATAAATAAAAAAAAAAAAAAAAAAAAAAAAAAAAAAAAGTTAAGTCGAATCAGAGTTTATTCAATTTTAGACTTTAGCGCATTTAGCTCAACTCTTCATATGGAATTCTTAATAAAAATTTCAAATCTGTGCCGCAACTATAAAAATGACTTTCGCAATTTTATTGCTGCCGCTGTCGCCATAAATCGTTGGCAGTTCGTAAGATTCGTTCCCGATTCCAGCTGATTTGACCCATTTGTAAGTGGAGGTCACATTTTAATAGCCTCAACTGCACAGCTTGCATTCAATTAGCAAAGTTTTTATGACGCGCTTGTGCAATATGCTAAATCTATCTGGAGATTTGCCACTAAACAGCTGTGATATTGATGGATGTGTGGCAGAAGCTTGGCGTGGGAAAGCCAATTGTGGGCAACTCTCAAAAATCATGATATCAAAAGCAGAACGGCCGTTAGATCAGCTCATTACCGCCATGGGGAGTCGCTGGATGGTCGCTGGTCGAATTGCAGCCAGACACGGAAGCCAATTAGAGTTGGTATCGAGTTGGTCCAATTGAATACACATACATAAGCTAGTCCAATTAGCGCATGGATCATAAAACCAAGCCCAAGCCCAGACCAACAACAACTATCTCAATCATTACGCAATTAGGCAACAGCCCAAAGGGCAACGGATCCCAATTCCATATCTATGGCTGCCTTATAGATAGAGAGCAACGATACAGCGATAGATATGAGGGCACACATTAAATCACGCGACCCATTAATAAAATTGTTAAAATTCTACGCAATGTGGCGTCGCCTCGACATTTTAATGGCCAAACAGAAGTTTCAGAAAAATATTTAATCATTGTCGCTTGGCATCGTTCCCGGCCATAGATATGCCATAATTCGTTTGAAAACAATTTGTATGCTTTGATTTGATTTGTGGCAGCTCGCCACTTGCAGCTGCAGCTGCGTGTGTATGTGTGTGTGTGTGTCGATGCCAACAGACACCATTTTTATCACCCTGTTTGTGGGCCCATTAAACGATTGTGTAAATTCCAAAAACAAATCAAATTTTAACAAAATTTTTGAAGAAGACATTAAAAATTAGAGATACACAATTGAGTGTTAAAGTTGACTGTTGTTGTTGTTTTTCTTCTTCTTAGCGCTAAGGTCAAGTGAATTGACTAACGCAGCTGACCTATTGCGTGTGGGTAATCGAGGGGCGTAAAGTGTTTCGCTGCAAATCTAAGCAGAGCTGGGGGAGGAGGTGAAGTCGCAACAGTTGAGTATGTTGCAAGTTTGTGTTGTCTATCAGTTAAAGCAGCTTCAATAATTCCTGGTTCATTAAGCAGCTGCACAATAGATATATTAACAGTGTCTCTTAGCAGAGCATGTGTCTGCTGATTCAACTGAACAACTTGCTGATACTAGCTCTGAAATAGTAGATTATATATATTTCCTTTCGATTTTCCATACGTATACATGCTCTATAGATTATCTAAAATTAAAAAAGTCATAAAATAAAATTAATACAAATTAAATGTTCTCGAACGCTTACTCAGTTTATAGAAAATGTTAAGCGCACAGCCAGACCAACGCAACTAATATACTCTTTTTCAGTTAGTAGACGAGTATAAAAAGTACATATTAACATATATATTGTAGCAAATATCGATAAGCAAAACTGCATGGATGACCGATCTTAACTAAGATACAGAAGAAAATTTTATATATATATTATATAAAATATATTTATTTTATATATTTATATTATATATTATATATATTATTTTGTAATATTATATTATATATGTAATATATTTTATTATTATATTATATTATTATTAAATATAAATTATTTTGAAGCACAGTAAAATGCTATGCTGAAAGCGTAGTTCAAATGCAGCAGAGATGAAGAGAATGAGAATGGCTGAGGGAGATTCTGATGCATATCTAAAAAACATTCTAGACTCAATTTCACTTACTTTTATTAAATTGCTCTCAGATTGAGTCGAATTGCAATTTTGTGTTGTCTATTCTCTTTTCATATGCCCTGTCTCTCTTGCTGTCAAACCTCATTCTTTGCTCGACTTTTCCAATACCAGAAGCTTATCATATGTCGTTGCCATGATTGATCTTTGCGAACCTGTGCTTCATTTCATTCTGCTAACACTTCTACAAACTAATGTTATTCTAATATAATATAATAAAAATATTATATTATAAAAATATTATATTATATAATAAAAAATATAATAATATAAGAACAAGCTAAGCTAATGTAGCTATGAGTTGCTGCAGCCCGACTTGACGAACTGCTGAAGCTTTAGAGCTGCCTTTGAGAGTAAAAATTAAAAAATTGTTAAAAATAAAAGGGTTCGATTTGAATGGCACATAGTGCGAAACTCTCTCCTATCTTACATAAAAGGTTTGCTCGTATAATGCATACATATATGTAGCTCAGTTACAATAGCATTTCATCAAAATTCCCATACTAACTAACAATGAGTATCTGGCAATTGGGCACGCCCCACTCGAAGCTAGTTTTGGCCAGCGTAAATTTAGAAGTTCTTCAACCTGACAACATTTTGTTGCAACTGTACAAGTTGCACTCTGGAAGTTGTCGCAACTCTGCCGCAACATCTTTGATTGACAATTGTGCAACAGAGTGTGTTATACGCATGCCAAGGGGGACGCATGTGCTTTGGCACTGCAGGACTTATCAGGGCAGAGCATCATCTAATGTCATGCCTGACATGAGCTGGCATCAGAGGAGCGGCCCCTAACTGTCACTTGCTGTTAGCTGCCTTTGACAGAGCATTATTTTTCATATGCATACGCGTCCATAGAAATCTGTTTAAACGGGGCGCACGCGCATTGTCCTACCCCAAGCCGAAGGCGCAACAACATGTGTTGCATATTACTTGGAAAATGCCTCAAATAGTTGCAGTCAGTCGCACAGATGTTTTGGCAGCAGGCGAGCGACCTGGGTGAAAACTAATGCCCAGCTAAAGTGACGTTTACATTTTTCGGAAAATCCCCCATTCGACTTAGTGCGCTGTCGACGGCTCGACAGCGGCTATTTTTAACCACGTGGCAGGCGCGTGTGGCTGGCGACCCCCGAAACCGAAACCAAAGCCAAAACCGAAGCACAACAGGCCCCCCATTTGCCGCCCTCGTTGCAACTGCCTGTGTGTGTGTGTCGTGAATGAATTTATAAATAAAATCTGAGATCACGGGCCGCCACTTCTGGGGAAATCCATCTGTGAATAAGTAGAATATATATCTCCTGCTGAGTTTTTCTTTGCGCACTTTTCCTAACATTTCGTGACTTTTCTCGCTTTTTTTTCCGTCGTTTTTTTTTTGTTATTTTATATATTTATTATCAGCGCCCAAATTTTTGGGGCGTTGGGGTTTCAGTCTTGATGGGCCGCTGATGGCTGGCTTCTAATGAAGCCTGTGTAGCTGTCATCGACACGAAATTTGATTTATTTTTAGTTCGTCATCTGAGCTGGAATCGAGTTCAGTCGAAAGTTCAAGCTGTTCGCTTTCAAAGACCTTTATTGCTAGTTAAAATAAAAAAGTGTATGAAATGTTTGCTTCTAACTCTGACGATCCTCAATCTTGACGAGCACTATAAAGCCGCCGACATTCTTGCCACCTGTAAAGAACGTTATGATGGCCTTGACCATGCCGCGCGGCACCTGCTCGGGCCAATCCTGGGTGTTGAACAGCACGCTCTTGATATAAAACTCGCCCTTTGGTATGGGGCAGGTGTCCTCGCCGACGAGTGGAAAGTTCGTGGTCTCGCCATCGCTGACCGAGGGCTGCACGAATTGCACATAGAACTTCTTGAAGCACTCGCAAATGCTGGTCTGCGGCACGTCGAAGACCATGCGCTTGAAATCCCCGTCGTTATTGGGACTGGAGTACAGCTCCACGGAGACCTTGAAGTCGTCGTTGTCCATGTCGCCCAGAAAGGAGAACGAACCGTTGATCGCACGATCGCGTCCAACTGTTTTCAGATTGTCGAACAAGACGAGCGTCTCCGAGTCGCCCTCAAAGGGCTCCAACTGCTCATTGCTGACCACGTAGGCTTGCTCGCCCTGCGCAAAGAATGTCTCACTCGATATCACGCAAATTTCAATTCATTGATATTTACCGCAATGTGATGCACTAGCTGGACGACTATGAAAATTATTGCCCACTTCATTTCGAGCTCGGGTCGTACAGTAGCCAATCGTGACAATTGCCTGGTCTATTTATTCACTGGCCCCGGGGCCTATCTACAGCACGCGATATTCATGTTTTCAGTCCCATGCTGTTTAGACCAATCAGTTTCGTGTTTGTCGATCTTGTCTCGGCTTGTTAAATTTGCTACAAAGTTGTTAATTATATTTTTTTTTTAATATTTACAGCAAAGGTTGTAAAGCCTTTGGCTGGCAAAGGCATTTATTTTCAGCTATTTTAATAACTCACAAATCATTAACGTAATATCTATGATCGCATTTTTGTTGTCCCTGGCAGATGACTTGACAACGTGATCGATTCATGTGGAGCACAAATTCCAGGGCTCGAACCAGTTGATGTACTTGGCCTTTGCTGATAATGGGCTAAAAATAAACTTTGCCTTGTCAAATGAGATTCTGATCTAACTACAACTAACATATGCATATGGGGGTACAGAAATATATATTCGAATCATTTTATATTTTTTATATTTTGACCAAGAAAATATTATTTCATAATGGTGGTCATACAAAGGAATGGAATCATTCCTTTTAAAATCTATGTCATGTTTCATATATTTCATTCCATTCCACTTAATATCCATGCATCTTACATATATTGCATTTCATTCCGGTTAATTTTCTTGTCATGTTCCATACATTCTATTCCATTTAATATCCATAGCATGTTTCATACATATTTCTTTATATATTCGTGTCCTGTTCCATGCATCCCATTCTATTCCATTTAATATCCATGCAATTTTCTATACATTCCATTTACATTTTTAGCATCTGTGACATGTTCCAAACATTCTATTTCATTTCTTTTAATATCAAAGTCATGTTCCATATATTCCATTTAATTTCCCTGTAATATTCCATATATTCCCAAACATTCCATACCATTTTCTCTTAATATCCATGCCATGTTCCATCAATTCCCTTCCATTCCGTTTCATATCCATGTCATGTTCGACACATTATTTTTTTAATATCCATTCCATGTCTTTTAAATTCCAATTCATTTCATAACTTGAATAGCATCGCCTTAGCTTAATTGGAAGTTCTTCAAACTTAGGATTATCTAAGGTCATGAAAGTGGACGCAGAATACCCTTTCGTTGTTCTACTTGAATACTACTTGCTACAAAGTCTATATTTTGACGTAACGACGACGAGGTGAAGCTAAATTTTATTTTAATTTTTGCAGGCTAAATTTTATTTTAATTTTTATAGGCAGGCTTAAAATTAAATGTCTAATTTTCTATTGTGCTCAAAAAATTTTGTTTTTTTCTCTAAAACTTTTTATATTTGTGTGTTCTATCTCACTTCTGTTTGATCAGACTATATATGTTCTTTATATTTCCAGCTGACCTTAGTATATTCCTAATCAAAATAAAATATATATATAAAAAATAAATTTAAATATAAAATATAAATATGTTACTCAGCTAAAAAAAAAGCTCGTTTAATAACACTTTAGCAAGAATATCAATCGATTTGCCCTAATTCTCATCTAATCACATCTATCATCCGCATAGTCGATGCAAAATCTACTTTCAATTCAGTCAGCCCACAATATTTGACTTATGTAAATTTTGTATGCAAATGCAAAGCCCAATTAACGCCTTAGAACGTGCCAAAATTTATTGCGCAAAAAGGCAGCCAATTGATTTATGCAAAATGAGCTTGAAGTAACGGCACAAACTCAGCTGGTAGCCGCAGTGTCTAAGCCAAATAGGCCCGAGCAGCGAATTGAACCTCACGTCGAGAACACCCACAAAGCTCGATTCGACAAGACCTCGAAAATCAATCAACCTCGATTTGATAGTTTTTTCTTTGTGGTTTGTTTTGCCCCTCTGCCACTGCAAGAAATACCAAACAGTAAAAAAGAAACTCGAAAAAATCTTAATAATAAATTGCTGTGATTTAATCAATTGTAGCAGGTGTTTTTACAACTGCACGCAGTGCCCCAAAAGCAACAAAAGCAAAAGCAAAAGCGAAAAACTGGTTGAGTCTTTGGCTCCTTCATGTGGCTCTGGTTGCTCTTGTGGGCTGTTGTTTGATTTGCACAAATTAGCGCGCGCAAAGACATAAAAAAAAGCAAGAGAAACAAAAACAACACACGAGACAAACCTGCTGCAGCGTCGGCCCACAAGCCAACGCCACCGCCGCCGCAGCAGCATGCAGCATGTTGCACAAACACACTCACACAAACACAAGGTTCACACGCTTTGTGCGCAATTGAATTTGAGAACTGCAACACTAAAAATCCGCATTTAATGCACTAGCCAACGATGACAATCTGCGATCTTGAGACGCAGGCTCAAATGCGTTTTCCATAAATTAGAACCCACACAATCGACAGTGGCATTAGCTGGTGTTCCTTATAAGAGTGCTGCCTGCCTGCTGTTAGTTCTTACTGTAGAGACTGAAACTAACTAAATGTGCTCAAAACTAATTTATAATGAAGCTTGGCTTATGATTCCATCAGGCCTAAGAAAACAATTTGATGAGTCGTTACAGCTTTTTCAACAATTTCCTGCTTTGATTTTTTTGGGTTTGGGTTTTCACACTACAAATTCACAATATCATTCTGAATTTTGTATTTAATATTTTATATTTAAATTTCATTGTATTTAATAATAATAATAATAATATATATATATATATATATATATATTTAAATTATATGTATATATATATTTAATGAAATATTCTTTTATTTTTTTTTTTAATAATTATATTAATTGATATTCAGATATACAAATTCATATCTTTCCGAAGGCTTTTTCCTTAACTAAATTTGAACATAAAATAAAAGTGCTTTATCTATCGTATATTCTAAAAAAAAATGAAACAAATAAGAAACATAATTTTCGATGGCTTTTACTTACCTAACAGATCAAGTCTATATTAAATTTCGAAAGAAATTAAAATCTCTTGACAAAGACTTGCCAAACGAAGCCATAAGTTAGAGACAGAGTTGGGTATAGCAGGATGTATCAGAGCAGTTCAGGCTTTGATTCTATTTCTTGTTCATTAAATCATGTTTAATATTTCAAAATATTAGCTACCCACTCTTAATTATATTATCAGAACTATATGCACCTAAAATCCAATAAAGAAGTCAACTAATTTGCTTAACAATCTTAGCCTACGCCAAAGTTCAATTTCAGCTCTGTCAGGCCTCTTGTCGAACTGATGTTGCAATGCTTTAATTTTTGATTGATATCATTAGCGTTTATCAATCACATGAAGGCAGGTAGCATGGAAATCATGTAACCAAATGTCTCATATCTCACGTACAACGCCGCAGGCGTCTATAACTCACATATGCTTGGACTTGGCTGGAGTCATCGAGTGGGTCGCAGCCCGCAACCGCACTGGGGCAGCCAATTATGCCATTTGCCCCGAAATAAAGAAAAGAAACATATATAGAAATTTATGCATATGTATATATACATATTATATGTATGTATCTAGTCTGTGTGTGTATGTAAATATGCAATGGCACTGTTGGTGGATCAGGTCGGCAGGTCCGTTGCGCATGCGCACCGCATGACGTCCAATAAAATTAAGCGCGTGTTGCATGTTGTCGTTGTTGCAGTTGTAGCTGTAGTTGTTGTTGTTTTTGTTGTTATGGTTGTTGTTGGCCACTTGACCAACAAACGAAACAACACGTACAAAGTTTGACGCGTGACGTGCTTGCTAAGCTCATTAGTTACACTAGACAGCAGGAGACAACTATTAAGTGGCAAATTTAAGCTGCTTTAACCAAAATGTAGTGTGTCTATGTGTAGTCAAAATAAAAATAAATTTTACAAATAATATATATTTATTTAAATATATTTAAAATAAAGTTTGCTTATGAAAAAATATGAATGTATTAAAAATATAATACTAACAAAAATGAAATATTTTTGAGTATTATAATTATTCTATAAAAAATAAGTAAATGAAAATATATAAAATTTTAATATGAATATGTTGAAAAATATAAGAATTTATAAATAAAAAATTAGTAACTGAAAATTATCAACATTTTTAAATATATGATATATAACAAAATATTTATAATTTTACATATTTTTTGTATGCAAATCATTTCGTTTTAAATTATGTATAAATATATAAAAAACCATTGACAGCAAAGTTTTTCTTGCTTCATAAATTCCCATTAATTTAAATATATGTTTATTTTTATTTATATAAATTTTATTAATGAGTTTCAATTACTCGATTACCTGGTATATAATTTGTGACTTTTTTATAATAGAAACCCATATGATTAAGACTTCTATTCAATCACAACATAAATATAAATTTCTGGCATATAAATTAGCATTTTATTAGAAATTTTAATTTTAATTAATATAATAATACCTCGTAAATACAAGCTTTAGCTGTATATATTGAACATTGTATGGACATATCCCATATCAACTAAATTTTTAAAATTTCCATCACATAATTGAATTCATTATTGATTAAATCCGTCTAAAAACTTAATCCACACATGTGTTGCCTTGTGTAATTTGTGGCTGCCACTTGTGGCACGAACACGCCGCGTCGTACACCACCAACACAAGGGCAACAACTTTCGTATTAGGCCAATGCGCCAACAACAACAACAATAATAATTTTTTTTTTTGCGCGCCGCAGTCAAAGTTGGAGTCGAAGTTGCCGTTGAAGCCACGGAAGCCGCTTGTGCCTGTGTAGGAAGCTTTGTGGCGAGCCTTTTAACATTTATGCCAAGTGGCAATAGCAGCACCCGGCCGCTAGCCCCCGACTAACCTGAGTGCGCTCCATTGCAGTTAATTTTCGCAACGACGCAATAGACTCGCTGCGCAGCTCCCACGCGGCTGCCGCTGCAGCGGGGCGGCAGCTGGTTTAACAACCTGCCGACGCGGCAGCCGCCTTATCACCTGCCCCAGCAGCCGCTGCATCGCTGCAGCCAGCTGTTTTTATTTATCTAAACACATATAT